GTCCCCCTAGTGGTGCATTTCGGGGAGGAGCTGGGGACTTGGTGGAGCAGTCCGAGGGTGCCTCGGCCCTGGGTGGGACTGGTGACTCCTCTGCACAGCTGTCTGTGAGGCCAGAGGACCCCCCTTGACCACCTGCAACCCGTTCCCACTTACCCATCGCCCTGGCTACAGGGGAGGCAGGGACAAGGCTTCTGCCTGTAGAAGGGGTCCTGGAAGGAGGATGTGTTGTTAGTGCGATTCCCCGATTCCCCGGGGCTGGCCCTGAGAGAAGATTGCAGAGTGGCTTAAGTGGGAGGAGCAAAATGCCAAGGAGGAGTGGGGAAGGGAGTCAGGAGGGGAAGGCACTCAGCACCTGGACTCAACCCTGCAGGGAAGCCTCCCTCCCCCGCCAGCCTGCACTCACCGCTCCTCAGCCAGAGCAGAGCCCCTCCCAGGAGATGGGGCCCCAAAGCTCTCAGGCACAGATGTAGGTAGTGCAGGAGGATGAGCCAGCTGCCCGGAAGTGGTCTTCCCAGAGGATACGGGTGAAGCCCCCATCATACCTGCCGCACAGGGTCCCTGCTCCCGGCGGCCAGCGAGGGATGCCAGCGTGCGTGGCTGTCACTGGTCACCATCACCAGCACGAGCCACCTGAGAAGTGTGCCGGGCCCTCCAACTTTTTCATGGCAGAACCTGTGGATAATAAAGTTGCTTGGGGGAATGGGTTGTGACCCATGGGAGGGAAAGTCCCTTGCTGGCTGGGCCTGGGACAGAGACCTAGGCCAGGGATGGGCCCACGCACAAATCCTGGCAGTGGCACAAAGGTATCACTGGCCTCATGGCTCTACCTAAGCTAAAAGGATCCCCCTTACCTTTCCTAGTTTGTCAGTTAAGACTTGGGGGAGCCCTCCCCACTGTGGCCCTGCATCAAACCCTGTGTTAGGTGGGCATAAGTGAGGCTACCAGGGCAAACCTGGTGTGGAGGGGAGACGGTGCAGAGGGGAGGGCAAGCCGTTGGGGCCACACCCCTAAATGACTTCTTGGAGCAGCGGGCCTAGCAGGGCCCAAATTGGGGAAGAAGGGACTGGCACAGTTAGGCGTGAGCCCTAGGGAAGTGCCTCATGCAGTGACATGGGTGAGGCTGGGCTGGGGGCCCTGCTGGCCATGTCCTGGACTGGTGTCCTGTGACTCAGGCCTGCTCAGCATCTTGCCCTGGTCCCCCACCCAGAACAAGTCAAGCTACATTCTCAGTTTCACATTAGTCTTTTATTATAACTGTATTTAATGGGATCACTTTGCCAAAAGGAGAAGTCATTTCTTAAATCAGTATGAGTTACAGCGTAAAGATGAATGAGAACAAAGCAATAGGATATAAATGGCACAACAGGATATTCCATAAGTCAAATGAATTGTGCCATCATGAGACAAATTATTATGACAACTTTTACATCAAAGTGGTCTCAAGCCTGTTTACAGGAACTTTAGATTTCTTTTCAACACTATAAAAAGAGAGCTTTTGAAAGTAACATGGGGGGTGGGGTGGGGTGGGGAAGCGGTTTTGGCCCGTGAGAAGGAAGCTCGGCTTGCCAGGTGCTGTCCTTAATTCATCCCGGCCTCCTCTCCCTGTCCCACGGCCCCCCAGAGCCCCTGTTCTGTACACATGGGGGCGGGGACCGGTGTGCACCTGCAGGGGAGGGGGATGGAATGATGGCATGGCCTGGCCTCCACAGGACAGCCACTGGGAGGGCCTGCATCGCCCCTCACCCTGCTCCCCGCAACACTGGTTCTGTAACAGCCCCTGGAGGCAACTTCTTAAGTAAACAATAAAATGAAAACAAAAATAGTAAATTTAAGTCACCTCTGGCAGATTACCTATCTTTAGGAGACAACGTAACTGCCACTGAGTTTTGTATTTGTTCATCGTCTCTGACAAAGTGGAGGAGTCCTTCGTGTTAGCGGTGGGCAATCAGACCCGAAGGACTAATGAACTCTGTCAGATGCAGAGAAGGCAAAGCACAGGGAGGCCTCGGGTGTATTTTTAGTCACACTTATTCCGCAGTGGTATTACTTCTTACCAGATTGCAGTTAGAAGTGAGCATTTGCAGGAGATCACCTTTGGAAGAAGAATCCAGTATAATTAAATGTTTAAAGTGTTATAAGACCCCTTGGCATATACAAAAGGTAAGGCAAAGTCATAATGACTTTCTTTCTCTAATCTGTAGCTCTCATATGTAATGTACAGAGAGAAAATTTAACTCAAATTTCCAAACTGATCAGAGAGGAATGCATGAAACACAGACACACATATTAAAAAAGTGGATGACAGAATTCATCTAAGCTTTACATATATAAAATCTATTTAACTGCTAATAATCAAAACATGAGAGGGTTCCACTGATTATATTTGTTAAAGAAAAATAAAAAGGTTTCATATATTCAGGATTTAAAAAAATGTGCAATGAAACAGAAGTACCTGATAAAATAATAAAAAAGAAGGAACACATTCTTTTAATAGCACTGTAACTAATAAAAATGCAAACAATGCTCGACTATGAAAAATAACAAGTCACTTAAAACGACTGAGAGAGTAATACAATTCTCAAACCCCATGGATCTATGGAAAGTGGAGGGTGGCACTGCCCACGTCCCACTCCCCCTCGTGCCTCCTTCCTCTGAGGGGGAGCAGCGCACTGGGGACCGCAGAAGCAACAGCTCTGAGGGACCCCATCGCTTCCCGTGTAGCACAGACACGGAAACACAGAACGGAGGACCTGCCCCTGGTGTGCTGGCGGGCCGGGGGTGTTCAGTGACTCGTAGACACCCAGCCGACTGCGACTGCAGGGAGGTAGCCTAGAGCCTTGTCAGGGTGCTGGCTGTCTGGCAGCTCCCGTGTGCCCACTGACACTGGACTATCACGACTCTAGCTCTCAGGGCCAAGGAAATGCTCGAAGCGAGCAGACGGCTGTCCGCCACTGCGAGGGGACAGCCAGCTCTGTGGCCCTTTCTAGCCACTGTCCTGGAGCCCTGGCGAGGATGGCTCCAGGCTTCTTACCTTAGAACCGAAAACACCAACAGCTCCCCAAACCAGGTCCTCGGAGAGAAAATAATGGCAACCCGGTGCAGCTGCAAGGCCACTCACTGCATGGGGACCTTGGGAGCATACAAAGTGTCTTCAAGGTGACACACAGTAACTTACTCAGTCACTCCCACAGGGGGCTGGGCAGACACTCAGGACGCTCATCAGCGTATCTTTGAGTGACCATGGAAGGCCCAACAACCCTGTTATCTGAGCGAAACCGGGGTTGTCATTCCTCTTCCAGCTCACGCGTTCAGAGATTTTCCTGCTAGAGGTTAAGAGCAAATCTGAGCTACTTAGAACCCTCTCTGTAGTAGCTGACTCTCGAGTCGTCACTAGTTTTTGGAGAGCGAGAGCACGTGGGAAATGAGGTCATTATCACGTTTGTCTGTAGAGAGATACATGGTTAGCAGTGGGAAGGATGTACACGGTGTGTATTCTTTCAAACTTAGCTTTTCGCTCGCGGGCATGACAGGTTCCGCTGCCCAGAGGCCTCACCATCCTCAGAGGAGAGGCCCTAAGAGCCAGTCACCTCAGGGCAGGGGCACTGTGGCTCTCCTGTCAGAACTCCTGCTTGGGCACAGGAGAGGGGAAGTGTCCTCTATAGGGACTTCTCCTTAAGGAGACAAACAGCTCCTGTGATGCTTTCTGCCCATCGCGATTCCATAAGCTGCCTACGGAAAAGCACAAATCCCCACCCTGTGCTGAAGCCCGGGGAGGCGCAGCCACGCCAGACCTGGTCCTGCCCCGGCGGTGGTGCCTGGGACGCAGTGCACAACCGAACCCAGGCCCTGCAGCTCCTACACTTGGCTCCCAGCAAGGAAGGGCTGTGCAGAAATCCCACACCTTCCTGACATCTGGAATGTTCTGCGGGAAGCCGTGCTCCCCCAGAAGGGACTCCAGGTCTAGTTCCCTGTTACTGCTACTTTAAGGCCAATGGGAGATCCTGACTCTGGATGGGAATGAGTTTGGGTTTTTCCCTTTACTTCTCAATTGACAGGTGACAAATGTATTCTAGCGTCAAAGCTACAGAGGCTTTACCAGAAAACTGAGAGATGTTTATCCCACAAGTCAGGGTCACATTTACCAATTCAAGGAAGTAATATTGTTACAACTTTTGAAATCAGTGCAGCAAAGATTGGCTCAACGTGACCTTGCTTTCTGGTTGTGAAAGATCCTAAGAGGAGAAATACAGTTGTCTGAGGAGGGTCAGTGATGGCCAGAGTCGATCTGGCCTGAGGTCTGGAAATGTACTCTTTAAGAAATGAAAAAAATCTAACTCCCATCACACTGAAATAGGATTCCTAAGTTTAGACCCTGTTTCTAAAGATCGCTGTAACTTTCTGAAAGGTCAGTGATGGGTTTTTTCCAGGCCTGGAATCTACCAGTTCTAGTCCATTCTGTTGTATTTGGCTCTGCTGTATGGCTTCCCAAAGGAGGAATGAAAGACGCTGAGATACAGATTTCCAGAGAGAAAGCCTTCTTGATATCAATCGATTTTCCTACGCCTGATGCTCTGAGGGAGGGAAGATTTGAAACCAACTCTTCTTCCTTCTCTAGTTATAATTAAAGGAGTTGCCACACCTAATTCTTAGTTGGGGAGAAGAGGACAGAGGAAAAGTGATTCTAATTGTGGTTTGGTCTTTTTTTTGACAGTGAGCATGGTCCTGGATACTTAACCCAGGTCCACCTCAGAGGAAGGGTGGGGTGGGACGAGGTAAGGGCCACGAAAGCCCTGTCTACGTTCTGGTGAACATCAGTCCGTGTGCTCTGTGGCCCCGTCTGCCTCTCTCTGGAGGGTTCCGATGGGCTGCGCTAGGGCCACAGGCCTGCTGGGAAGGAAGTGTTGGTTTCAGAGGGGTCTCCGCTGGGGGAGCCTCAGGCAGACCCTGGGGCCGCTGAGGGGGGTGGCCAGTCCCTACAAGGAAAGCCAAGGGCACTGTGGTCAGATGTCCAGGGGGCTCACAATGGTGAAGCCAGAGTCCTTGCTGTTGCTGCTGCTGTCCTCGTCGGGGCTGGAGCTGGGGTTGCTGGAGGAAGCTGAGGCTGGGCCCATCAGTGGGTCAGAGAACACCAGAGGGGAGCGGGCCAGGGGCTCGCTTTTCCCAGAGGTGCTTCGGAGGGTGCGAAGAGGCTGAGCCTGGCCTGAGAAGGACCCCTTGGTGCTGCCCGTGTCGTCTTCTTTGGAGACCAGGATGAAGTCGTCTGCGCTCCCTCTGTCCGTGCGCCCTGGCGTTTCTGAAGAGGACTGTGAAGCAGAGTCAGAAGTAGAGGTGGATGAGAGAAGAATCCAGTGAAATGAGAGGACTAAGTAGTAGCCCTGGGAGCACTTCATGGAAGTTCAGGCCCCTGGCCCGACGCTCTTCCTTGGAAAGATGCGATGTTTGGCCAGGTACTTCCCAGTGGCGGGGGGCCAGCTCCCCTGAAGCTGGATGCTGGGTTCCCAGGGCAATAGAGTAAATCTCCTGCCTGATAAGTTGAGAGAAGCCGGCTCAAGAGACAGCCAGCAGGCTGCAGACAGACTCCCTGCCAGCTGCACGTGGCACCCTGCCGTGCACATCACTCGTCTTCCTCGGGCTTTAATGTTCTCATCTGCGAAATGGGGATAAGGACAGCATCTGTGACCTAGTGTGTGGTCACCGTGCAGTGAGGTCATGTGCATGGATATGAATCACACAGAATTGGCTCCCTAATGTAAGCCCAGATCCGGAGTGGTTTTACTACCGGCTTAAAGAATAGCTTCAGGAGGGCCTAATGTATGTATCTCATAACCAGCTCATCCCGGGTATGCGCTTAGGGGCCCCCTGGGACAATGGTGGCAAACACAAAAACCAGGAATGGTTAAGTGCCAAGTATATGGCAAAAGGTAGAAAGGCAGAAGTGCTTTACTGACCATGATTTTCCTTTCTTCTTAAGCAATTATGAGTAGCGTTTGTTTTTAACTAAAAATGCAGACATCTATGAACATGAGTAAGGGGTTTTGGGTTAAGCCCGGAGAAGCCCCTGCCCGCCCTGACGTGAGGAAAGCTACAGCCTGACCAAGGATGTTCCAGAGCTGGCCAGGCGGAAGAAGTGCTGACATAAGTGGTGTGGTACCCACACCTGCTCGACCACGCACCTCGCCCACTCTCCCATAGCGTGGGTGGGGGCTGGGGCGGGAGTCTGAGGTCTGACGACATGCGCACAGCACCGTGGCTGGAAGTGCCACCCGATCCTCTGGCCTCCAGACCAGTATGGCCTGGGCCACCGGTGGGCTGTGGGCAGAGCCTGGACAGGTAGCTGGCAACACTTCCAAGGGAAATCTGGGCTTGACTGACAGTGCTTTCTCTGAACTACATGTTCTTGGTGACACGCGGGTGGTGAGTAGCTAAATAATGGCTCAGGTGCCTCTACCTTCTGACCCTTTGTCCACCTTTAAGATATTTAATTGGGAGAACAGAAACAGAATTAGCCTTGAGATCACAGGGCTTGAGACAACAGGTCTTGAAGTTCCTCATCTCAAGGTTTAAAGCTGTTTCCATTCCATCAACACATTAACTCTTACAAAACTGAGGAGACACACAGATCCTGGCACTCTGGTAGAAGGGGATGTGATCATAGCTGGTACTAGGGCAGTTTGGGAGAGAAAGACCGTCCATTGTGAGGTGTACCCAGTCGGACGGTGCCACCCTTGGAGAGGCTGGAAGGGACACGTGAGTGGGGCTTGTGCTCCCACGCATATATATGCACACGGGGTGCAGGGCAGGCTGGGCTGTGGGACCTCAGCTTCAACCTTCTACCTCCAAAGTGTGGACACTGTTCATGTGACCATTGTCCTGCACGGTAAACTGTGAAAACCTTGACCTCTCACCCCACGTAGGGTCTGTGGCTGGAACGCTGCCGGGCAGAGCTCATCTTAGTTTGAAAATAAAAAGAGCATGTACAGCAGGCCCTATTTTCAGAGTGACTACAGAAATACCACGACAACCCACTCTCCTTTGGCTTACAGTGAATACATTACAAGACTTTGAAGAGGAGAAATACGTTATAAAGCCTGTGACTGGAAGTAAAGATGAGGTTCCTGCCATCACTCTAATTATCTGGCACATTTCTGGGAAAGTAGTGAAGTCAAGGTACTCATCTTGGGTTACCCCCCTGCCTCCCATTCCCAGAAAAAATTATGGACTGACTCAGACAAAGCACGGCAGAGCTGGCAGGGCCTGACCTTCTTTTATTACCCCTCCTCACCTTTATATTACAGATCACAAAAGGAAGCCCATTTCAGAGGCCTGGTGGCCTGGCCATTGTCACAAAGCGAATTAAAAGATCTGGACTCTTCTGGACTCCTACCTAGAACTTTTTTCTAAACACAAAGATGCCTTCTTTCTGGATTTCCATAGCAGCCTTTGCTACTACCTGGTTCTGTTTATATCATTTACACAATCCTCTTTTTTTTGCCAAACACAAGCATATACTATACAACGGGAGGTTTCAATCCATCAGTCCTGCCTAAAACTGGCCAGGACCAGCACAATATACAGCCCCCGGACCCCGACCTGCTGTCCTCGCCCTGCCTCATTTCTTACCTTGAGTTTAGGAACATGGTGGATGCAGGTGCGCCCAACTGTGGACTAGCTGTTCAAGAGAAGTGTGCTCTTTCTATGCTGATATAGAAGCACCCAGCCACAGGTGGATATTGAGTACTTAAAAGGTGGCTAGTGTGATGGAGGAACTGTATTTTTAACTTAAAGCCATTTAATCTTAACGAGTTTAAATTTAATTTTAGATAGACATCTGGCTAGTAGCTACTGTATTTAGACAATGCAGATATAGACCATACAAATAAAAATAGGGGCCCCAAGTACCAGTGAGGCACATGATGTGGGCTGGTTGACGAAAAGAATCTAGAGTCCTACAAGGTCCTGCCGTCTACTGCCATGGAGTTGAGTCAAGTTTACCAAAAAACTTCCAAACGAGTGTGTGAAGGACAGACTGGGAGGAAGGGGAAGAATGTGGCTCTTCCCATTCTACAGAATACAATTTTGCATCTGCCCTTTTCAGAGCTGGGGATAAGATTTGTGAATCGAATGGAAAGAACAGTACTAACCAACATACTGGCAGGGAGTGAGGCACGTGCATTTCCAAAAAGGGAAAAGCCCTACTGAAGCTCCTGATGGGGAAGGGCACTGAGCCACCTGCCCCAAGGCGGTGAGCCTGACCCTCGGCATTGTCCTCTGCACGTACTTTCGTGCTAAACCAAGAAGCAAAGCTCATTCCCAACTTAGGAATGAGCTGTGGCACAACCCACCACACACCAAGACGTGGTGATTACATCTCCAGAAAATGTCTCCAAAGTCCGCCTCGCACTGTTGCCCCGGCCTCTGGCCCTCTAACTGGAAGCTCATCAGCGGGGACTACATCCCATACCCTGAGGACCCTGAACACTTGGCAGAGCAGGCCCTCAGCTCACCTTTGGGAGGCAGGAGGGAAAACGCCTTCAGAACACCCACCTGGCCCACACGTTCCCGTCCAGAGCCAGCCCCCCTCTGCCACCCTGGCCCCACAGGGTAAGAAAGTAAGTCCGCCAGTTCCAAGCCCTGACAGTCGTCCCAAGGCTTGAGACACAGGTTCCTAAGGAAAGATGCTGGGCCAGGACTTCCAGCCTGGTGGTTCCTGTATGAATCTAGACCAGATCCCTGGGCACTGGGGCACAAGGCTCCAGACATCTGGCTCTCTATGCGACCTGTTGCTTCATCTGGGATTTCTCTTGCCTTTCCTCCCGTGAAGGCAAGAGGACAGCACTGCTTCCCTAATTCTTCCTTCCTCAGATAAAACCTCTTTCAGGAGTACAGGGGTTTTTTTTGTTTTTATAAACTGCTAACATCCTTGGGGAAGAAGCCACGGCAGGAATGAGCAAAGAAGAAAAGCCCTGCTATTTTCCCTTTTCCCACTTTTCTTCTATTCCACTTAACCCTACAGAGGAACAGAGATGCAGAGAAGGCAGCTGTGGGGTCTCTGGGCACAGGATGGGTTGACTGTGTTTTAGAAGCGCACACAGAGGCAGGTCTCTTGGATGCTGCACAGGAGTGTGGCCCTGCCAGAGCAAGGGCATATCCTATTTCGGGCCATCTACACCTCACGCTGGCTCACCTTGAGTGTGCACATGGGTTCTGCTGGGGCAATGGCGGTAACAGGTAGGTTCTTACAAAATGAAAACTGGGAGTAACAATGGCAAAGTATAATCAAGAAGCTTTCAATTTAGCAAATTCATTAGTGCTTTTGAAAGGTCTTTTTCTGTAATATTTTTACACATTCAAATAAAAAAATCATGTTAAATTTTAAAACAACATTGTCAATTAAAAATAGTTGGGGGGTGAGCCTAAACTCAACAAAATTTGAATGAAGAAATGATTATTGAAAAACATCTGCTGGGGCGCCTGGGTGGCGCAGTCGGTTAAGCGTCCGA